GCAGAGAGACGTACCACCGCACAGTTCATGATCTGGTGGCAGCCGTAGACTTTCAGGTCGGCCTCTGCCAACTGGCGTAGCCTGTTCAACAAGCGCACGACAGCACAAACAAGGTGAACCAACGATTCGAGCAGGAAAGTTTTGCGAAAGGCAGTGCCACTAACCTGTCTGCCTGGAAGTCGTCGCGGGTGTCAGAGATCCAGCGGTGCGCGTTCAGCAGAGCAGCAGGACCGAGGAACTTTAACAATTAACATTCACCGCGAACGTGGTGAGTGTTCGTTGCGGTAGGCGATGACGATGGTGTGTCGTTATACCTTGTCATCCTGGGCGCCCTCCCACCAGTAGGACGGGCACGATGTGGAGCAGCACGCGCATAGGATGCACTCGTAGAGGCCGTCGAGCCGGCGTCTGTCTTCCCTTGACTGGTGCTGTTCCACCTTGGACTGTTTGAGGGCGGCATCATCATTCTTCATCAGGTACGGGCGAATCTCTCGATGCTGCAAACATGAACGGAAAACGAGGGGTGTGAGGAACGAGGCACACAGAGGATACCAAGGAAGACGCCGATGAAGAGTAGTCACCTGCTCGAAGAAGTGGGTGAGGTCGGTGACGAGGTCCCTAATGACCTCTGTAGCGCCACAGATAACGAAAGCGTGGTGAGTGTGAGTCAACTGCTGGGGCTCCCCGGCATGAGTGAAAGGGCGAATCATGTATTACCCATGTGAGGCAGGGGATAAATCTTGATTTTGCCGTTCGTGATGGACTCCTTGATCGGCTTGGTGCAAGCGAGTGTGGTCTGAAGCAAGAGATGAGCAAGCTGTATAGTAGACCAAGGTGGAGCAAAAGCGGTCTTACCTGTCCGTCGATGTTCATTGAGCAACTACCGCAGATGCCCTCACGGCACGACCTATTGCGGAGGAAGGGACACAAAGAGTTGAGCAAGGCACCTCCTAGAGGAACGAACCTGATCAGGTTGACGACGTACCTTCTAAACGAGAGAGTTGGGTCCTGTTCATTCTTAATCTTCAGGAGCGCGTCTAGGACCATCGGCGAGCATTCTGTGACATCGACCTTGTAGTTCTGCATTGTGCGCGCGCCCACGTAAGTGGCGAGCAGTCACGCATCCTCACTTCGCCTCGCCATGACACGAACGTACCTGAGTGTAGGGCTTCTCGCCCTCCTTGCCCGACCAGCGGTACACTTGGACGTCCACGACTGCATGTCGCATATGGTGAGCTTAGTTGGCAACTGAGCCACGCGGGCAATTGAAGGGGCGTACTTCCATCTTGGGGCACGGTCTTGTCGAGCTTGGTGAGGCCTGGGGATAAGATGAAGAAGAGTGAGGATGCATCACCTATGCATAAGATTGAGCAGTGCAAGTGGTACCGGGTATGTGCAGGGTCCTGGAGGTGGTGAGGGTGGGGGCAATCTTGAGTGGCGAACGAGTGACACAGCTGCGTGCAGTGCATACCGCAGACGAAGCGATCCTCTGTCGCATAGGAAGCATCTTTGAGAATAAGAGAGTTGAGCAAGAGTATGAGGCAATGGTGTGCACCAAGCCTGGCAGACCTGGTTGGGCATCTTTCAACACTTCTTCAACTCACGAAATTCCAACCCTGCCTCAACGCTATTCTCGCAGCTTCCTAGTCCCACGAATAATCGCCTCATCGTGCGCAATCTTTGGCTCATCTCCAAGGTGGGCCTATCCGCCAAAGATTGCTTCTGTCTCCAATCGATTTGCGCCTTTTGATCGGCCGTGTATTGCGTTTGGGTTTTACGAAAGCCTTTTCGAAATTGTTTCGGCGTAAACCGGCCATTTACAGCCATTTACGCATCGTTTGCTCCAATCGGTGCTTTGATCCTCGGTTGTTTGCGTGGCGGACAAGAAGGCCAGCTTCTTCTTTCTCATCTTTGCTTGGCCGTACGCACTTGCACCTCGTCGCCTCTTCCCACCGCCGAACTGTCTCGCCTGCAGCGGCAAATCGTAGTTCGTTGCGCGAAGAGAGATGAACGTCACGGGCAGGAGCGGCAGCGACTACAGCAGCGACACGGAGGACGAGTGGCCGGTCGAGTACAGGTCGGACCTGGTGCAAGCAGCCAACATTAGAGGCCCACAAGCGGGAGGAGGCAGTGCGCCTCCTTCCCCCAATCTCAACGGCTTCGGCGACCATCAACATCACATCCGATTCATGGAGAGCAGCGGCGAAGTGGGAGAGGACGACCTGGAGCTCGGCAGAGTGCGTGCAGGCAAGCAGAGCAGGAAGCCAGGCGGAGAAGAAGAAGAGCGAAAGGAGTTGCTGCAGCCCTATAATCTCGACGGCGAAAATGAGAAGGAGATGCTGGCGCGCGTCGAAGGAGTCGAGACCACAGACTATCAGCCACTCAAAGGCGGCGTCCACCTGCGCAGGCTGTTCTCCCTTGCTAAGCCAGAGGTGCATCGATTCTCTATTATTATTATTATTTCGAGGAATTTGTGTGGGGCTCACCCCCTCTTTGCTGTGCAGTGGTTGATGCTCTTGGGCGGCACCATTTCGCTGGTCGTCTCAAGCGGCTCGATGCTGATGCTGCCCCAGTTCGCTGGCGACATCATCGACGCAGTCTCCAAAGACGGCGGTACGCTGCGCACGAAGCCACTACGCACTGCTTCGCCTCTGTTAACGCACCTCCGTCATCATCATGCACAACATGCAGAAGACAAGCTGTACCGTGCTCTCTTCATGTTGGCCATCACGCTCGGCATCGGTGGCGTCTTCACCCTGTTCCGAGTACGTGACTTCACCACCCATGTGCACTAGCTCCCCCGATTCACAAGCTCAATGCTACTCAACATGCAGGTCGCTCTGTTTACGATCTCGGGCGAGCGCGTCGTGGCGAGGCTGAAGAAGATGCTGTTCTCGCAAATCATCAAGCAGGAGGTGGCCTTCTTCGACGTGAACAAGACAGGTACCTGTCTCTGCGTGAGCAGCACGAAAATGGCACCGCCCGGCAGCTCAATTCATTACTTGTTACGTTGTTGTTTGTGTTGTTGTTGTTGTTGTCTCCCATTGCAGGTGAGCTTGTGAATCGCCTCTCGGCCGATTGTACAGTATTGCAGAACGCCGTCACTGTAAATATTTCGATGGTTCTCCGCGAGCTGGCGTCCGCCATCGGCGGCATCACCATCTTGTTCGTCATCTCGTGGAAGGTGCTACAGCGACCTCTTTCCTTGTCTTGACCGCGCCCATGTGCTGCTTACACTTCTCTTCCTCCTGGACACACCTCGAATGCAGCTCACGTTGATCATGTTGTCCGTCATCCCGATCGTCGTCATCGCGGCGGTGATGTTTGGCAAGTTCGTGAAGAACATGGCCAAGGCCCAGCAGGACGCCCAGGCGGCTGCGACCACGGCCGCAGGTACCATGCCATGGCCCACCGCATTCTTTTTTGTCGGCAGATGCTCACCATTGACGATCTACCGCCCGCGTTACGTTTTGTAGAGGAAGCGATCAGTAACGTCCGTACGGTCAAGTCTTTCGCCGCCGAGCTGTTGGAGAACGAACGATATGAGGCCAAGGTGCACGCCGCGTACTTGCTCGCCAGAAAGCTGGGTACGCAAAGGCTCCCTTCGTTCGCCCACGCCATCATGCTAACCCTTCGCACCGTCATAATGAATCGCCGTCGCCAGGTATTGTGTTCGGTGTGTTCGCTGCCACTATGACGTTTGCTGCGAGTGGCGCCATCGTTTTGGTGCTGTGGGAAGGTGGTCGCGAGGTCATCAGCGGGGCCATGACCACTGGTACACAAAGCGAACACGCCACACCCAACTCTCTCCTAGTCTCACAGCTGCTTCCCCCCCTCTGTGGCGCAGGTACCCTGACCTCATTCATTTGTACACGGTGAGTGTGGCCGGAGGATTGGGCGGCTTGTCTTCACTCTACGGCGACTTCATGAAGGCGATTGGTACTGTGCGTGTGCGTGTGCGTGTGCGTGTGCGTGTGCGTGTGCGGTGTGCGGTGTGCGGTGTGCGTGTGCGTGTGCGTGTGCGCTCACACATCGCTTGGGCGGCCGCGCGCAGGTGCCTCGTCCCGTGTGTTCCAGCTCTTGGACAGGGAGCCGCGTATTTCGAGTGAGGGTCGCAAGATCAACGCCATCAAAGGCGAGGTGCAGCTGGAAGACGTCTACTTCGCCTACCCCTCGCGGAAGGACGTCATGGTGCTCCACGGCGTGTCACTCAAGCTCTTGCCCGGCCAGATCGTCGCGCTCGTTGGTCCATCAGGTACGTACCTAGCCTTCATTGCGCCGATGCCATATTCGTTTTGGTCGTACACACGACTCACGACTAACACGACACAACACACACGACACAAAACAATGTTTGTGTGCAGGCGGTGGCAAGTCGACGATCGCGCACATGATCGAGCGGTTCTACGATCCGCTCTCTGGCGGAGTGTACCTCGACGGCGTTGATCTGCGCGATCTCGATTACGATGACCTTCACAGGTACGCACTTGTTTTTTAAGCACAGTACTGCGTTCACTGGAGGTTTCATTAACTGACCTTACCTAAAAAAACCGCCCAGCCACATCGGCCTGGTAAGCCAGGAGCCGACCCTGTTCGCGGCCTCGATTGCCGACAACATTCGCTACGGCTGTCCGCGACAAAATGTCACCATGGAGGAGATTCAAAGGGCGGCCCAGTACGTTATATTCGCCCATCATTGTTGTTCGTGTGTTGCTTCATGTGCTCACCCGGTAGCTTATACTTCTCACAGGCTCGCCAACGCGGCTGAGTTCATTGAA